AAGTCGACCAATGGAATCGAATAGAAGACCCTGACATTAACCCACAAACCTATGAACACCTGATCTTCGATAAAGGAGCCAAAAGTATACAATGGAAAAAAGAGAGCATCTTCAACAAATGGTGCTGGCAAAACTGGATGTCAATCTATAGAAGAATGAAAATAGATCCATATCTATCACCATGCACAAAACTCAAATCCAAATGGATTAAAGACCTCAATATCAGTCCGAACACACTGAACCTGATAGAAGAGAAAGTGGGAAGTACTCTACAGCAAATGGGCACAGGAGACCACTTTCTATGTATAACCCCAGCAGCACAGACACTAAGGGCATCATTGAATAAATGGGACTTCCTGAGGCTGAGAAGCTTCTGTAAAGCAAAGGACACTGTCACTAAGACAAAAAGACAACCCACTGACTGGGAGAAGATCTTCACCAACCCTGCAACTGACAAAGGTTTGATCTCCAAAATATATAAAGAACTCAAGAAACTAGACCGTAAAAGGCTAATCAACCCAATTATAAAATGGGGCACTGAGCTGAACAGAGAATTCTCAACAGAAGAAGTTCAAATGGCCAAAAGATACTTAAGGTCATGCTCAACTTCCTTAGCGATCAGGGAAATGCAAATCAAGACAACTTTAAGATACCACCTTACACCTGTCAGAATGGCTAAAATCAAAAACACCAATGATAGCCTTTGCTGGAGAGGTTGTGGAGAAAGGGGTACAATCACCCATTGCTGGTGGGAATGCAAACTTGTGCAACCACTCTGGAAAGCAGTGTTTCGGTTTCTCAGGAAATTCGGGATCAACCTACCCCTGGATCCAGCAATACCACTCTTGGGAATATACCCAAGAGAGGCCCTATCATACAACAAAAGTATATGCTCAACTATGTTCATGGCAGCATTGTTTGTAATAGCCAGCACCTGGAAACAACCTAGATGCCCTTCAACGGAAGAATGGATGAAGAAAGTATGGAATATATACATATTAGAGTATTACTCAGCAGTAAAAAACAAGGACTTCTTGAATTTTGCATACAAATGGATGGAAATAGAAAACACTATCCTGAGTGAGGTAAGCCAGACCCAAAAAGAGGAACATGGGATGTACTCACTCATATTTGGTTTCTAGCCATAAATAAAGGACATTGAGCTTATAATTCATGTTCCTAGAGAAGCTAAATAAGGCGAATCCAAAGACAAACACATAGGCATCCTCAGGAATATTAACCTTCATCAGGCGATGAAAGGAGACAGAGACAGAGACCCACACGGGAGCACCAGACAGAAATCTCAAGGTCCAAATCAGGAGCAGAAGGAGACGGAGCACGAGCAAGGAACTCAGGACCACAAGGGGTGCACCCACACACTAAGACAATGGGGATGTTCTATTGGGATCTCACCAAGGCCAGCTGGCCTAGGTCTGAAAAAGCATGGGATAAATCCGGACTAGCTGAACATAGCGGACAATGAGGAATACTGAGAATTCAAGAACAATTGCAGTGGGTTTTTGATCCTACTGCACGTACTGGCTTTGTGGGAGCCTAGGCAGTTTGAATGCTCACCGTACGAGACCTGGATAGAGGTGGGCAGTCCTTGGGCTTCCCACAGGTCAGGGAACCCTGATTGCTCTTCGAGCAGATGAGGGAGGGGGACTTGATCGGGGGGAGGGGGAGGGAAATGGGAAGCGGTTGTGGGGACGAGGCAGAAATCCTTAATAAATAAATAAATTTAAAAAAAAATATTAAAAAATAAAAAAAAAAGAATACAGTTTCCGTGTAATTATTTTGGGGCATAAGCTAGCCATGTGGGCAGCCGGGTGCCGGGACACAGCCCCGCTGCCCTTAATTCAACAACTCACAGTGATCCCACTGAAATCAGGAACAAGACAAGGTTGTCCACTCTCTCCATATCTATTCAATATAGTTCTTGAGGTCCTAGCTAGAGCAATAAGACACTAAAAGGAGATCAAGGGTGTTATCTGAGGTTTTCTGTCCTGCCCGGTTTCCACAGTCGTTAAGTCCCAAAGAAATCACACAGAGGTCTACATTAATCATAAACTGATTGGCCCACTAGCTCAGGCTTCTTATTCACTCTTATAACTTATATTATAACAGACTATTCTTGTCTATGTTAGCCATGTGGCTCAGTACATTATTCAGCGAGACAGTCATATCTTGCTTCTTCTGCATCTGGGTCAGGACTGCATACTAGGACTTCCTTCTTCTCAGAATTCTCCAGTTCTCATTGACCCTCCTCTACTTCCTATCTGGTTGTCCCTCCTATACTTTCTGCCTGGCTACTGGCCAATCAGCATTTATTTAAAAAATAATTGACAGAATATAGACCATTGTTCACACCACAAGAGGATACAAATCAGAAAAGAAGAAGTCAAACACTCACTATTTGCTGATGATATGATAGTTTACATAGCGATCCCAAAAATTCTACCAAGAAACTTCTACAACACATAAACACTTTCAGTAACGTAGCAGAATATAAGATTAACTCAAACTGGCTAGGCTCCCACAAACATGGACGGAGGGGGTCGGACCTAGGACTTTCCACAGGCAGAGAACCCTGACTGCTCTTTGGACTGGAGAGGGAGGGGGATAGGAGTTTGGGGGGAGGGGGAGAAGAATGGGAGGGAAATGGGAGGTTGGGAGGAGGCGGATACTTTTTTTTTCCTTTTCTCAATAAAAAAAAATTAACTCAAAAACTCAGTAGCCCTCCTGTACACAGATGATAAAGGGGCTGGGGAAGAAATCAGAGAAACACCACCCTTCACAATAGCCACAGACAGCATAAAATATCTGGGAGTAACTCTAACCAAACAAGTGGAAGACTTGTATGACAAGAACTTTAAATCTTTGAAGAAAGAAATTGAAGACACCAGAAAATGAAAGCATCTCCCATGTTCTTGGGTGGAATTAACATAGTAAAAATGACAATCTTACCAAAAGCAATCTACTGATTCAATGCAATGCCCAGCAAAATTCTTCACAAACCTCAAAAGAACAGTACTCAACTTCATATGGAAAAGCAAAAAACCCAGGATAGCCAAAACAATCCTGTGCAATAAAAGAACTTCTGGAGGCATCACAATCCCTGATTTCAAACTCTACTACAGAGCTACAGTACTGAAAACAGTCTGGTATTGGCATAAAAATAGACAAGAGGACCAATGAAACCAAATAGAAGACCCAGATATTAATCCACACCTTCAAACACCTGATTTTTGACAAGGAAACAAAAATATCAAATGGAAAAAAAGCATATTTAACAAATGGTGCTGGCATTACTGGATATCAACATGTAAAAGAATGAAAACAGACCCATATCTATCACTATGCACAAAACTCAAGTTCAAATGGATCAAAGACCTCAACATAAAGCCAGTCATACAGAATCTTATAGAAAAGAAAATGGGAAGTACATTTGAATGCATTGGAACAGGAGACCACCTCCGAAATATAGCCCCAACAGCAAAGACACTGAGAGAAAAAAATTAATAAATAGGACCTCCTGAAACTGAAAGCTTCTGTAAAGCAAAGGACATGGTCAACAAGACAAAATGGCAGCCTACAGAATGGGAAAAGATCTTCCCTAACCCCCACATCAGACAGAGGTCTGATCTCCAAAATATACAAAGAACTCAAGAAATTGGACACCAAAAGAACACATAATCCAATAAAAAATGGAGTATAGACCTAAACAGAGAACTCTCAACAGAGGAATCTAAAATGGCTGAAAGACACTTGAGAAAATGTTTAACATCCTTAGTCATCAGAGAAATGCAAATTAAAACAATTCTGAGATGCCAGCTTACACATGTAAGAATGGCTAAGATCAAAAACACTGGTGACAACTTATGCTGGAGAGGTTGTGGGGAAAGGGGAATGCTTCTGCATTGCTCATGGGAATGCAAGCCGGCAAGTGAGTGTGGTGATTTCTCAGAAAATTAGGAAACAACCTTCCTCAAGACCAAGTAATACCACTTTTGGGTATATATCTAAAGGATGATCAATTGTGCCACACGGACCTGTGCTCAACTATGTTCATAGCAGCTTTGTTTGTCATAGACAGAACCTGGAAACAACCTAAATGCCCCTCGACTAAAGAATGGATACAGAAAATGTGGTACATTTACACAATGGAGTACTACACAGCAGAAAAAAATAAAGACATCTTGAATTTTGCAGGAAAATGGATGGAACTAGAAAACAACATTTTGAGTGAGGTAACCCAGACACAAAACTACAAATATCACATGTACTCACTCATAAGTGGTTTTTAAACATAAAGCAAAGAAAACCAGCCTACAAGCCACAATCCCAGAGAACTTAGACAACAATGAGGACACTAAGAGAGACTTACATAGATCTAATCTACATGGCAAGTAGGAAAAGGCAAGATCTCCTGAGTAAATTGGGAGCATGGGGATATTCGGGGAGGACTGAAGGAGAGAGGGGAAAGGCAGGGAGGGGAGCAGAGAAAAATGTAGAGCTCAATGTTAATCAATAAAAAGTATTATGCTCAGTGACTGTTGCCATATTTTTCCAGAGGAGAAAGAGTAAATACTAAAAATCTGATAGGTCACATGCTTTTGGACACTAGTTATCACAGGACAGAGAGCTCCAGGTGTTTACATTGTACAACACATTTCATAGTCACTCTGCTTCTTATCTCAAACTGTGAAGAAATTAAACTATAGTGAGGGTCTTATTTCTATAAAATGAAAAATAAGTGTTCCCATGAGTTATTCTAGAAGAAGAGTCATATTAAACTTTCCAATGATGCATAGCATTGAGAAGCACTTCCTTATGAAAGAGGTACTGAATATGGAAATGGGGTAAACAACATCAAAGAAAATCCTGCTGATTGGTTCAAACCTTGAAGACCTAACATATAAAAGGTCCAGAATGCAAGAACTCTCCATATTGTAGAAAACTCATCTCTTAACAGAAACCCTCCAGCTATATCTGACACCATGCCCAAATCCTGCTGTTCCTCTTGCAGCCAGCCTTCCTGCTGCAGGTCCACCTGCAGTAAGTCAACTAGTGTGACTAGCTGCTGCCAGCCCTGCTGCCAGCCAAGCTGCTGTGAAACTACCTGTTGCAAGACTACCTGCTGTAAGCCAAAATGTGTAGCCAGCTGCTGTAGCACACCCAGCTGCTGTAAAACGACTTGCTGCAAGAGCACCTGCTGTAAGCCAACCTGTGTAACCAGTTGCAGCTGCACACCCAGCTGCTGTGAAAGCAGCTGCTGCAAGAGCACCTGCTGTAAGCCATCCTGTGTAACCAGCTGCAGCTGCACACCCAGCTGCTGTGAAACCAGCTGCTGCAAGAGCACCTGCGGTAAGCCAACCTGTGTAACCAGCTGCAGCTGCACACCCAGCTGCTGTGAAACCAGCTGCTGTGAGAGCACATGCTGTAAGCCAACCTGTGTAACCAGCTGCAACTGCACACCCAGCTGCTGTAAAACCAGCTGCTGCAAGAGCACCTGCTGTAAGCCAACCTGTGAAACCAGCTGCAGCTGCACACCCAGCTGCTGTGAAACCAGCTGCTGCGAGAGCACCTGCTATAAGCCATCCTGTGTAACCAGCTGCAGCTGCACACCCAGCTGCTGTAAAACCAGCTGCTGCAAGAGCACCTGCTGTGATCCAACCTGTGTAACCAGCTGCAGCTGCACACCCAGCTGCTGTGAAACCAGCTGCTGCAAGAGCACCTGCTGTGATCCAACCTGTGTAACCAGCTGCAGCTGCACACCCAGCTGCTGTAAAACCAGCTGCTGCAAGAGCACCTGCTGCAAACCAACCTGTGTAACCAGCTGCTGCACACCCACCTGCTGTAAAACCACCTATTGCAAGACCACCTGCTGCAAGCCAACCTATGTAACCAGCTGCTGCTGTACACCCAGCTGCTGTAAAACCACCTGCTGTAAGCCAACCTGTGTAACCAGCTGTTGCTGTACCCCTAGCTGCTGTAAAACCACCTGCTGCAAGACCACCAACTGTAAGCTGTTGACCGAGGTTTTCTACCCTGCCCAGTTCCCATAATCATTAAGTCCCAAAGAAATCCCACAGAGGTCTACATTAGCTATAAACTAATTGGCCCATTAGCTCAGGCTTCTTAATAACTCTTTCACTTATATTAGCCTATTATTGTAGTATATGTTAGCCACATGGCTCTGTACCTTTTTTTCAACAAAGCAGTCACATCTTGCTTCTATTGTCTGTGGTGGGACTGCAGAGGAATAGGATTGCTTCTTCCCAGAATTCTCCTGTTCCCATTGACCCACCTCTACTTCCTGTCTGGTTGTCCTGCCTATACTTCCTGCCTGGCTACTAGCCAATCAGCGTTTATTTAAAATGTAATTGACAGAATATAAATCATTGTCCCACACCACTTCCCCCTTTTAAAAAAAAAACAAGAACTCTGTATCTAATATTCTTTGTTTAGCTTTTCTCTTGACCATTAGCAATAACAACTTGTAACCAACATTCTAAAAAAAGGAAACTGTCCATAGTCCATTTTGGGAATGCTGACACAGTTTTCCAGGCTACTTCCTGCTGGTTGGGGGTGCTGATAATCATATGGGGACCCAAAGAAAATTTAGAATTATGATCAAGTCCTGACTGAAGTATCCTGTGAGGCTTGATTATCTCAGGCAGTAGTCTTGAACCAGTTCTGTACATAGAACTCTGACATCTGGGCTATCCACCCCTATTGGAGATTTCTCAAGGGGTCTTCCTTGATCAAGCCTGATTTTTCTTAACTGAAAATAAATCCACATCTTCTCATTTTCTGTGTAAACAAAAGCAAATCCTCTTTTCCAAAGTAACATATTTTTTACTTCAATTTTGAAGTCAGGGTATTTTCAAAGTACCTATCTTGGATTAATTCAGCAGCATTTATAAACAAATATCTTTTAGCAGCTGTTGCTCCTCCCTCAGCATTCAAACAATTCAAAGAGAACATAATAACATACAGTATCCAGACTCTGTGTGCATTTTCATCTTTACATGGCTTTATTTTAACCTCTAATTCTTTTATTTTTACTTTTAATTATTGGCTTTTGAGACACGTTCTCTGCATATCTTTGGCTGTCCTGGAAATCACTCTGTAGACCAGGCTGTCCTTGAACTCACAGAGATCCCCCTTTCTCTGCCACCCAAGTGCTGGGATTAAAGGTGTGTCCCACCTCACCTTGAACTCACAGAGATCTGCCTGCCTCTGTCTACCAATTGTTGGACTTAAAGGAGTATACTACCACACCCAGCTACTCTCTTTCTTTTTTTTATTTTAAGGACTTTAAGCTTTTTCTTTTCTTTCCCAAGCCTACATATACTTTTAAACACACTGTAAACCATTTAGAGGTTTTCTTCATATTTGAACCTCTCTTTACTGTATATATCTCTTTTGCTGGATGCATAAGTCTTTAATTTGCTAAGCTATATGGCTAGAATTAAAGCGTGGCATTGACGGCTGGTTCCAGCCCATTCCTTAGCTTTCTGAGATTCCAGCCTCATGGAGGAGGTACTGGCTATAGCCATGTTTATTGCCACAACTCTATGGCATTTCAAGGTTCCTGCCAGCAAGCAAGCTGCAGCAGTCTGCTCACAAACCACACTCAAATGCTCTGTAGCTGGACCTCCTGCCTGAAAGAGTAAGAGTTTGCCCTAGCAGGACAGCCCAGAAAGCCAGCATTTTAAAACATGGCTTTTTTCCTGCTATGGCATGCAGTCAGCTTTTCATCAGCACCATTTAAGTGTTTCGTGGAAGGACCTCTTAAAAGAGCTGCAAGGTTTTACAGAAAAAGCTGAGTCAGGAAGCCTCTCTTAAATGAGAACAGTTGCCTTTAGCAAGTAGAGCCCACCTGAGAAAGTACTGCTATCAAGAAACTTAACTCTATTCTTTTTTATCTAGAATATCTTTCCAAGCTCTCTCAGGTTTTATGTGGATGCAGTCATCCACACATTGGGCACCATTTGCTGACTGAGGTTTTCTGTCCTGCCCGGCTCCCATAATCATTAAGTTCCAAAGAAATCACACAGAGGTCTACATTAGCTATAAACTGATTAGCCCATTAGCTCAGGCTTCTTATTAATTCTTATAAATTACATTAGCTTATTATTATAGTATATGTTAGCCACATGGCTTGGTACCTTTTTTAGCAAGGTAGTCACATCTTGCTTCTTCTGTGTCTGGGCCTGAATTGCAGAGGAATGGGCTTCCTTCTTCCCAGAATTCTCCTGTTCCCATTGACCCACCTCTACTTTCTGTCTGGTTGTCCTGCCTATACTTCCTGCCTGGCTACTGGCCAATGAGCATTTATTTAAAATGTAATTGAGAGAATATAGATTATTATCCCATACCAGTGAGCCAACCCGTGTGACCAGGTACTGCCCACCTTCCTGCAAGCCCAGCTGCTGTGAAACCACCTGCTGCAAGACCACCTGCTGTAAGCCAACCTGTGTGATCAGCTGTTGCTGCACACACAGCTGCCAACCCAGTTGTTGTGAAATTTGCTGTTGCCAGCCCTGTTGCTGTGAGTCCTGCTACTGCCAGCCCTGCTGCAAAACCACCTGCTGCTAGCCCGCCTGAAATAAACCAATTCATGGGACCACCTGGGCCCTCTAGTCCAGCTGCTGCCAGGCCTACTGCTCATCAACTTTCCAGCTGAACAATGCCCAGAAAACTATCCTTGTGTCACACCGGTCTCTCCATGTGGGCAGAAGCTCCCATGGTCTTCTGAGGCTATGACCACTTCGGAACACTATGAGTCACCTTGATGGAATGCAAGTCCACTCACTCTCACTCTCCTTTTCTCTCTGTATGGAGCCTAGCTCACAGCTTCTCTTCTCAGCTTGAATCTTCATTTTTCCCTCTGAACAACTGAGAAAACACTTTAAATAAAATTATCAAGAAATGTTTGGAAATTTGATAACTTATGGACTGTTATTCATATCCATATTGTCTGTCATCATTACACTTTGATAAATCACTTGATAGTAAATAGAGTCACATGCTCCAAAGACATTTTATTGTGCAATATAATGAAGTCTCTCTCTTTGTTTCTCTCTCTCTCTCTCTTTCCCTCTCACACACACTGTTATTACAATTCCTTTCCAGCAGGAAACATAAACAGCATCTACTCCTCCTAAGGTTCCACTCACAAACCAAAGCTGAATTCCACCAAATTTGACACTGGGGAACTAATGAATTTATTGGGCTTCCTTACAAAGCATAGATAAGGGACTGTTTACAGGAACATGAATGTGCCAACCTGAAAATGCTACAATGGAATGTCTTTACTTAGTAGGGATAAGAGCTTTCCCACAGCTTCATAGATAAAGACTCATCTCTAGTCTTCTTTAGACCCTCCCAAAGACCACCCACAGTTGGAGCAGAGTTGCATGCAACTGGTGGTACTGAATAGCTGGATACTCTGATTAAGACTCCTGACCCGCCCACCTCTCTGTGAGGGATGTAAACAGTAACCAAGTCCTCCCGGACTGATCTTTTACAAAGGGCCACAACTCCAAGATGGCACTTGTTTGGCTCAGAGGACAGTTATGTGCCACACACATGCATGTGCATGTACACACACATACACACATACACGCACACACATACACACATACACACTGGACCCAATATAATCCTTCATCTCCTGAACAATGGAAGTTAACAGACAATGGTTACCAGCTCCCTCTGGCTCTTACCCCTATGCTCTGGAAAAACCTTCCTGCTGTTTTCTTCCCTGACTCTGACTCAAAAACCTCATTTGAATGGAATCACACAGCACTGGTCTTTCTGTTGTGCTTTTTCATTCCTTTACTGTTGATGAGTATTTGCCTCGCTCTTGAGCAAGAAAGCCAACAAATGATTGCAATTAAAGAACTTCAAATGGACATCCACGAAACTCACTGGTGGTACAAAGTGACACTGGTAAATGTATCGATGTCAAACAATGGAGATGGGCCAGATGTAAGTGATCTAAATAGAACACTGCATTGCTGCTGTTCAGGTTTAAAAATGCAAAGATTAAAGTTAAACTCAAGGAAATGGGTGTAGATTCTCAGTGCATGGGCTAAACACAGGTGAACAAAGTGCACAAGATAGACCATGTTGCTTCCAAGGTTCAAAGCTAGACCAACTTGACACCCTCTCATAAGAGGAAATACCATGAATGTCCCACCCACCTTGTCTGGCTTGATCTTAGGCAGATTTTACAAAAAGGGAAAGTTGGTTTTCTTTAGGGATAAGGGTGCTGAGACCCTATTCATGCTCTAGTTCATGGCCCTACTCTCTGACACATGCAAACAACACTAAATGGTTTCAATTGGAACTAAATTTAAAAAAAAAATTACTAATCATTAGGTTTTTTTCCACTGAGTTTGATAAAATAAAAAAGCAGATGAGTGATAATCATTTGTAGAAAAACAACAACAAAGTTCAAACCCATTACTCACTGTTTAAACTCCTCTTTCTCCGTTTATCTTCACAATGACCTCATTCTTAGTTTGCATGGAAACTAATTTACCAGTCACTTCTCCACTCTTCTCCTTGCCTCTAAAAGAGAGCAAATTTCCTCAAGAGCTTCATGAGTTGTTTTCTTGTTAGTCAGCATTGAGTATGGTGTCAGGTATGCATAGTGGAACATGTATCAAGATATGAACAAATACAATGACTGTGATGGATGAGCAGAAGGCAAAAGACTACCATGGCATTGGGCAGATGGAGGCTTCCTGTTGAGATTGTGGGGGTGGGAAAAAAGAAATTAAGGAAAGAACAGAGGGAAAGAAGGTAGAAGGAAGAAAGGATAGAGAGAGGGAGAGAGAGAGAAGGGAGAAAATAGGAAGGAAAATTATTTCTAGTTTGTGTTATCTAATATAACATTAAAAACATGTTTCTCATATAGCCTTTATTATTTTGAAATGGGGCCCATCTATTCCTAAATCCTCTTGGATTTCTATCATTAAAACATGTTGAACTTTATCAAATGCCTTTTCTGTCTCTTTTCTGAATTATCATGACATTTCTAGCATTGAGG